TCTGTGAAGAAAAGTAAATGAAAAGTAAATAGTCTAATATGACCGTAGTCAATATATATATTATATAATCAACAGTAGAAATAAATCCTCACCAAAGCAGACAACACAGATATACAAACAACATAAAGTAAAGACACCCATATTACAACAAAAGAAAAAACGCTGATGATGATGAAATGTAGCAAGGTACAACACAAGCATAACACATACCATCAAAAATGTCTTTGTTTCAGTAGTGAGAGTAAATATAATTTGTGACTTCAACCCTGGCTAACATGTAGAGATCCTATACCTGTGATTATTTTCCATTCCACTTTAGCACATTGGCTAATTCTTCTGTATGTCTGTGTGACTGCAGGGTTTTTCAGCAGGTGGACTCAGCAGTGGTGTGTCTGCTCCAGCAGCCGCAAGCCAAACCATACCTACATTCCAGAGCCTGGGAGCCTTTCACACGCTGCTGTCAGTACCACACCAGTCACCCATGAACCACAACATAAAAATAAATACAAATACAAAACAAAAACAAATATTTGATGCATTTCATTAGTTACTGATGTAGTCTTTATTTAAACTAGTTCTTGTTTGTCATTTCTCCTCTGACGTCTCTGAAGCAGGAGAAGGGAAGGAATGGTACAGTTTTCCTTCTGCTAATAATCATTATTTATTTAAGTAACTTATAGCCACAAAGTATCTGTATTTTTTCCAACCCACACTCACTTATACATTAAACGAGAAATGGCAAAGCTGGAAAATGTTCTGGCAGTTTTTTGCAATGGTGGATAATTTCCTCTGATTTAAGTGTATGGCATTAAACAGTATGAGCGGTATATTTCAAGATAGATCCTAACATTATTCACAACTTAAAAATTAGAATAAAAAAAAGGCATTTTGATGAAAGACAACTTTAATGGCTCAGTAATTGAGTGCTGCAGGAGTCCTAAAACCCAGACCTGAGTTAGCATTTTAACCCATTTTACCCACCAGTTCCCAGGGTTTACACCTTTTGTGCTACAACATAAAATACATCAGTAAATACCTCACCTTTGAATGTTGAAGCTTTTATGTGTCTTTAAAAAGGCGGTTGCTAACAAGTGGCTAAATGAGACTGCAGAGGTTGAGACTTATGTTCTCCCCAGTCCGCCTTTACAGTCTTGTTGTTTTGTGGCTGAATGCTTATTATTTACTGAGAGATGTGCATCCATATTACACAGTATGCCCAGCTATCAACATTTTAAATTCAATATTTAATCAATAGCCCATGTCAATCTGATGCTTTCCATCTTGCATTACAGAGTTGTTACTAAACTTTTACTGAGAAACTAGATAATCATTGTCTTGTTCTAAAGTTATGTGTACCTATAATTTCCATCAATTCAATTCAGTTTTATTTGTATAGCAACAATTCATAACAAAAGTTATCTCATGATAACTTATAAAATTCTTTACATAGACCCAACAGACCCACAGACCCAATTTCCCTTCAAGGATTAATAAAGTCTATCTATCTATCTATCTATCTATCTATCTAACATCCTCTGTAGCTGTAA